TCCGACTTCTCAGCTGGCCTCTGCCCTTCTCCAGCCTCCTCCGGAGCCACACTTCCACTCCCTGTCAGCTGTTCCTCCTCTTCCTCAGAGTCAGTCTCCACCAGGGGCATGACACCTTCTGACCATCATAGACAATGGGAAAGCTGATTCACTTAACAATCATTTTACTAACTTAACAACTGCAGTGATTCACATAACAACTGTGGTAAGAAAATTTATAAAATGGAGCAAAACTCACTTAACAAAAGTCTTAGCAGCAGAAATTTTGAACTCATGTGGTTGTAAGGCATTGACTATCTATATAGACTTAAACTAAGGGTTGAATTTTAAATGCTTTTTATACCCATAGAAGAAGTTGGAAGTCATTTTTATTTGTTTATTTTGTTTTTCTTTCTTGGAGCTTTTTTTGGACTTCTCTCTATCCCTCTTATTCATCTTTCTTTCTATTTGTTAGCTTTTGTTAGTTTTTATTTGTATATTTTCTGAAAAAAACACAAATATGAAAATGTGATAAAAGGTATTGAGTAAAACACATGATGGTAAAATCACCATCCAATTCTTTTGACTTCACACTTCCCAGGGGTCTTTAAATGCATCAGAGAAATGGTGGCAAGGCAACTAGAAAACCTATGGATGATTTTTATTACTTTTATTCTGCATTTTTTATAATAATATAGTTTCACTTCACAGTACGCACTCAGTTTTATTCTGTCTATCAGAATAAATTCACACATGTGCATGCACTGAAAAGTATGGAAGAAGGCATTCACCATTTATTTTGTTTCAGGTTTGGGATGGAGGAATTGAAGTGATTTCTTTTTATTCCACTTTGTGAAGCATAATACTGACTGGATAATTCACTATTATTTATCTGTTTCTTGGATTTAGAAAGCTGTTCAGCTCTGAAATGACTGTGGGTATCCTATATAGTTAAAAACAAAAAATAAAATAAAAAAGACATGATATAACAAAGAAAAAATGTGTTGTTAGACTTAGATTTTATTGTCACTTTGAATGTACTCTAATTGGCATACATTAATATGAAATTTTGTTGCCTGTAGCTCTCAAAGGGTCACCACCTGCAATATTCACTACATAAACATGACAAAATAAATAAATACAAAATTATGCATATACCTACATATATTGTATGACACAAAGAAACAACACGATCTAATTTGCATGTATACATGTACACAGCAAGAAAAATGAATATTGTGTTTACCAGATGAATGGCATATGGAACAAAGCTGTTATAGAATCTTGTAGTCTTGCTAGAAATACTTTGAAACCTCCTCACAGAGGGGAGCAACAGAAACAGACCGTAAAGTGGGTGTGTGAGGACTCTAACAATGCTTTGAGCTCTAAGCACATAGTGTTTATAAGCAGTATCCCGAATAACAGGAAATGAGTTTCCTATAATCTTCTCAGCTGTCCTTACCACTCTCTGTATGGAGGCACTGCTGCCACCAAATCAAACCGGAATGCAATTTGTTAAAACGCACACAGTTGTGCCTCTGTAAAAAGTGGCCAGGACAGAAGGAGAAAGGTGTGCTTTCCTCATCTGATGCATGAAATGCAGGTGCTGCTTTCCATGCTTCACTAAGGATGAACATGTGAAGAGACCAATTCAGATTGTTAATTATTTGCACCCCAAGATACTTAATACTGTTGACCACTTCTACAGCTACATCCTTGATACTGAGTGGAATATGACTGTGCTGGCTCTGTCTAAAATCTACAATGATCTTTGTTTTATTAACATTTAGAACTAGGTTGCTTTTATTGCACCAGTTCACCAGAACCTTCACCTTTTCCCTATAACCATCTTCATTGTTGTCCCGGATAAGACCCACCACTGCTGTATCATCTGCATACTTCACAATATGATTTGTAGCAGATTTGCACACTAGTTGTGGGTCATCAAGGTGAACAGTAGTGGATTCAAGACACAACCTGACAGGAACCTGTACTCAAGGAGATAGAATTGGAAACTTTTCTTCCAACTTGCACACACTGAGGCCTATCAATAATGCTTTTCACATTCCCCTACTGGTTAGCCATAGATAAAGCAAAAAAAAAAAATATCTCGATTTTGAAAACAGACAGCTGTGGATCAAATTCAGTTTTCCCCCCAGGGTTGGGGATGAAAACACTGGTAGAGAGGAATACATGAAAATTCTGTCAATTGGTTTTATCAGTTCTCTGCAAAAGAGGCTTTGATTTAGCTTCTTCATTCCCAGGATGTTTAAGAATTTGTTTTTGTGCCTAATTTATTTTTTCAAGGGGGCAGAGGGTGCAGAGGTTTTCATTTTTTTTCCTGCTATATGTACTGCTATTCCTTTGCACTCATATGACGAGCTTGCAAAAGTTACCTTACCTTTTTTTTTAAGGGGGGCGGGGATCAGGGAGATTTGGAATGGGACAACTTAATTTGACCACTTAGCCACAGGCCAACTCACCATAGCCAACTTACCGTAGAACAACTTGCCATGGCCAACTCACTGCAGGACAACTCAATTTAACAACAATTTAATTTAAATAATATTTTAATTTTTGTCATTCACATTTCATTTTGTCTCCCTTTTTGCATTCCATTCTTTCTTTGATTATTCTATTCCACCATTTCTTTGACATTAGTGTGATGCTTGTTCTGTGGCAAGTTCGCCATGGTGAGTTGTCCTACAGGGAGCTGGCTACAGCAAGTTGACTGTGGCCTATTGGTAGCAGTGAGTTGGCCGTGGTAAGTTGCCCACACTGAGTTGTCTCATGGTGCTGGGTTTTTTATGAGTGTTAGAGGATTTTGATCAGAAAAAAGAACAATCTCTCAGGTTTTGCCTTTGATAGCATGGATTGGGATTTGTCTAAGTGCTGATTTTAGATATGAAAAGGCTCAATCTGAATCCAGGATCTAAGACAAGTTTAATTGCCATCAAAATGAGGCTAGTATTTGACTGCATTTAGCTTTGCTTGGATTAAATATGAAGCACAGAAGAAACTTCATTACGACCACTACAAGCCCATAAGGCATAAGAAGGAACAATATTTATAGCTATGATTCATAGTGATTTCTAAACTGCTCTCATGGCAGTTTCTAATTGTGATATCCAACCACTTTTCTCCAAATCGCCCAAGGCTTTTAGCAGTCTAAAACTCTCCATAGTCCTGACTGTGTCAGCTGTAATCTGTGAGGGGCAGCTACCCACATAAGATTCTTTAAGCTGAATAAGGTGAAATAGCTTCATTCATGAAAAGTAGACTGTTTTCCCCAATGTCCCTTTGGAAATTACGAATCTCATCACCATCAATGCTCCAGCCTATTTAATTTAACAATGGTGTCTCATTTTATTTACAAACCAATCTGATGCCAACCACAGGTGATCTATATATCTCTGTTTAATTTTTGGGTAGAGCAGAAGAACTGCTGGATTGAAAATGAATGCCCTGCAGAATATCATAATGAATCATAATTATATTTAATACAAATACACATCACAGACCAGGGACGGTAATGTGAAGGATAATAATGTGGATCACAATGTCCTTTATATCTACTAGTTAGTCCTTAAGCTGATTAAACATAATATGACATGACCAAAATTTGGACCAGAATTTTCATTGCTATGCAAAGCAATTCTTAAATGAGTTGCACCTGATTTTTAATCCCTCCCATGGTTGTTAGGCAAATCACTGTAGTTTCTAAATGAAATGTGCCACGTTAAGCTTCTTAATGTGCTGATTGGAACCCAACTGGGAAGGTTGAAAACAATGATCTTATGTTCCCGGGACATGGCACACATAATAAAATACATGCCAGTTGCCAAGTGCCCAAATTTTGATCACATAACTGAAGATGTTGCAATGGTCATAAGTGCGAGGACCAGTCAGAAGTCACTTTTTCAATGCTGTTGTAACTTCAGATGCTTGCTCAACAAATGGTTGTAAATTGAGAACCTTCAGAATATGTTATGTATTTGCTAAATGGCAGTGTAATATTTTAAAAATAGTCTTCAAAGTGCATAATTAAAAAATATTGATTGTTTATCAATCACATGTTAGACAAGAACTACTTTATATTGTAGGGTAATGTGCATTGTTTTAATCTACCCCACAGATTTTAAGCTACCCCATCAATTCATAGTTTGCTTACTGAAAGATAGAAAATAAACATTGCAATAAAGAAACAACTTAGGCAAATGCATTAAAAAAAACAGAATTTTCCTCTCTGGGTTCTCAAAACCTCAGGAAATTTCCCATTAAAACTGAGCATCTCACCCTGCAACTGAATTATAGTTAGGTTCTTCAGAATTTAGCATTAATTAGAGTGGAAACTCCAGCTACCAGAATTAATTTTTTGGACACATCTTTTGACTGTTTTTGTATGTTGTCATTGCATCTGTTTGGAAAGTAAATCAGAATAAGAGAAAGGTTTATGAAAAAATACAAGCACACATCCTAAGCCAGACACTGGCACACTTCTGACATCTAATGGCAGTATCAAAACTGGTATCCATAACAACATTGCATATGCATATTGTATTTTGACATGGCTGTGTAAGATTACAAATACAGCAGAATGGCTTAGGTTTTTGAAATGCTTGAGTTCTTTCTTTTTTGCTGTTCTGTGGAAGTGTATGTTTAACTGATACATGAAAATAAAAATAAAAAACAGTATTAGATATATTTAGTATTATATATATGTTGACTTTTCTTCTATTTGACTTTTCTTCTATTTCTTTGCATTTTCTTCTGTTTTCTGTTTGCTCCAGGAAAAATGCCAAGAGTAATTTGAGTTGAACAGTAAATAAAGTTCTGCAAATCAATCAATAAATACATTTTATTTCTTTAAATTAAAAAGTGAACAATCTCCATTGCTAACGCTATATTATTAAATGCATGAACTTTTAAAAGTGTACAGTTACTTAAGCCTTTCTTAAAACAACGAAAACCAAAACAGTGTTATAACAGAAGATAGTAAGATTTGTTTTACCATTTGGTAGATATTCTTTGGATCGCCACACTGATTTCGACAGAATATTCAACATCTACTCAGGAAATGGTTCCATATTTGTTTCTAAGAGCATTGATCGAGAAGCGGCCCCATGGCATAACCTCACTGTTGTTGCAACTGAAATTAGTAAGTTGTATGTACACTACAAAGTTTGAAAGGAAGAGGAGGAAATCTTATGTTAAATGCTTAAATTTTATCCATGCATTATTATTTATGTGATCTATGACTTTATTCCCAGCAATCAAATGTATGTTCTACTATTTTTGCTTACACAACATGACACCCAATGTGATTATACTTACAGGTTTTTTCGAATTCATTTACAATACAATATGTATTATTAGTGCATTTTAAATGCTAATAAAGATGGAAAATAAACATTTTCAAGGCTACCAAATATGGGTTTCAAATATCCAAGCTGCAACTAGATGGCAGTCCAGACCTATGGAAAACAAATCCTTGTATACTTTTTCTCTTCAAGACATGCTAGATTTGTTTGTTTTGTTAGTTTTCCAGCATTTGTTAATAATCCTGAAAATGATTTAAAAAAAAAAAGACAAGGAAAGTAAAAATACATGATATAGCCATAAAATCTAGTGAGAAAATGGGTAATAGTTTTAAACTAGCTTGAAATTGCTTTAACAGGTCTTTTACTGGTCAGTGCTCAATAGAGAACACATAACTATTTTGCTTGACAAAGTTATTGTGGCAAACATGGTGAGCAATTTTGCATGGTTTCTCAACACCGTACCAGAATGTTCCACCTATTGGTTTTAAATTGAAGAGACAGTTTATCTGACTTATTATATACAACTGCCCACAGTTTAAAGGTGGAACTTTGATCATCTGAATTGAAAATACTGAAAATTGAACCTGCAATTTTTCTGTAGAGATTCTTAGTCATCCAAGTCATGGTTGTTCCAAAGATGCTTTTTCAGGAGACAACTTCTTGTTTTTTTCTCTGAAGATGTTTCACTTCTCATCCAAGAAGCTTCCTCAGCTCTGACAGGATAGTGGGGAATGGAATCCTTCCATGACCTGGATGACTGAGAATCTCTACAGACTTTTAGCTATACAATTTGAGATGAACACCCTTGGAATGGTTTGGGAGTAGGAATGGATTTCTGGGAGGGGGGATTGCAGACTACAGAAACCAGGAGCACTACTCAGGTGACCCTGAGGACACAGATAAACCTCCAAGTGCTTCAACAACCTTCTAAAAGGATGTAAAAGACCAACTGTCTTCAAGGAATACAAACCCTTCCATTCTCCAGCAAAACATCTTTAAAGAAAAAACAAGAAAGGCTCCAGAAAAAGCACCTTTGAGAAAGTGATTTTTTTTTTTTTTTTGCAAAGTACATCTGTCATGGTGAGCATTAGATCTTCTCTTGCATTTTTGCATCAAAGTTAATAGGCTCTCTCTAGTCTATGAGAGTAAAAACTTGGGGCTGCTGCAATTAGACAGAATTTCTAAAAAGTGATGACAAGGCCTAGTCCCTGTACAAATTTATTTGGAAGAAAGTCCTATATACTCAATGGGAAAGTGTATTGGGTTTCAGCTTTGATATGAAATGTTAATATTGCCATTTATTACTGTATTAAATTTCTATATTGCCACAATCAAAAACAGTTTGGCTGGGATAACTTTGGAAATGTCTTGATTGCTTAGAACCCTTGACAGCTAAGGCCAAAATAAAGACTTTAATATCTTTAGTCCTACCTACACTAAAAAAAATGCACTTGGTAAGAAATTCAGTTGAAAATGGAAAGGTCTGAATTTAGATATATAGGATTGCCCTGAATCTATATACTCTCTCCTTCTGCCAAAGAAATATTTTGAAGTCCCACAGACAACTGTAGCAAATGGAGCTTTTGACAAAAATGACAGAACAGCATTATGATATCACAATGCAAGCTCTGCCCCTACCTACTGCATGAAACTCATGAATTAAGAAAAATGGAGTTTGTGTCAATATGTCATGAGGCATATTTCATATTTCATTATTTACTCCTCTGTGGCCATGAAAGTGCTCTTAATTCTTGGAATACATTTTATTAAATTTTGCTAATGTATTATTTCAGAATGACATTTCTAAAGTGTACTTTGAGAGGTGCCATGCTTACAATATAGGCACTGACACTTATTCTTGAATCTCAAGAAAAGAAGTGATACAATATTATGATCAAATTCCATCTTGTCCATTTTGTTTCAGGCAATCCAAAACAAAGTACTCAGACTCCCATCTTCATTCGGATTTTGGATATAAATGATCATGCCCCAGAGTTTGCCAAGTTCTATGAAATTTTTGTTTGCGAGAATGCAAAAGCAGGACAGGTAATACATCAAATATTATCATGTCTGATTAACTGCATTTTTCTCTGTCTCAATTATAAAAATGAATTTATTATTTTTAAAAAATTACGCTATATTTCAGTAGTCTTAACAGTAACAACTACTTTGCTTCATCAAAGTTCTGAATAAAAGAAAGCAGATGTGGTCCCCATGCTATTGATTGATTTGATTTTATGGCAATACATAACAGCTTTCAGAAGTTAACAGTAATATAAACGTGTATAGAATTATGTGTGTCCTTACCAATAAAAAATTAAACTAATAATTTAAAGTTCAAGAACAGAATCATAAACTAAACACCATCATACTAATTTCCAAGCATATTACACAAATGTTCTGCTTTAGTCAAGTTTTGGACATCTATCATCGAAGAAGCTAGATAATCCAACTACGAGAAGGACATAGTCCCCCCCCCCCCCCCAAAAAAAAAAAAAACAAACAAACCAGGGCTAATACTCTAATTACTTGATGACTGAGAAACTGTGTTTGGGCCTCAGATTCCCATACTTCATTAAGGAATTATCAGCTGGGTGGACAAGTTGATTTCAAGTGGGGGAAAGACAGCCTTGTAATTACATCTGGAATGCACTCTACCTGGGACTACCTTCAAAAGTTTGGGCTAGTTCAAAATACAGTACCCTAGCTGTTCAAAAATACTTGCTGAATAGAAACACATTACACCTGTGTTTTGGTCCTTTGTATTGCCTTTCTATTGGCTTCTGAGTGCAATTTAAATGACTATTTTGACCTTTGAAGTCCTAGATGACTTCTGTATGAAGTATTCCAGGACAATCAACTTCAACCCATCTCAATCTGCCTGATATACAGTAGGTGTCCCAGAAGAAGTTGCTTGTGGTTCTTTTGGTGCCATCTTACCAAGGCATTCCAAGATACTTTGGGTTTTATTCAGGATGGTGGCTTCAACACTCACAAGATCCTGCCCACCTTCTTTCTGGCTGATGTACAATTTCTGACTTGGGATGGATGTTCTGTACATTGTGAGGAACTTCTGGACTTTCACATCAGCAGCCTTCATGTCCTCCCTTTGGCCAATTCATTATACTGACAGGGAATCTGATAACTGGTAGGGCATACACGTCAATGTCATGGAACTTGTTCTCATTAAACTGACTCTTCAAGGCCTGCTTATCCTTTGTTGGTTCTTAGAGGTTGCTAACTTCGTTCTCATCATGGTTCCCATGTGAGATATCAAGGTATTTGGGATTTCTTGGTATTTGAGGGATACTAACTTATTTTGGGATACCAAGGTATTTCAAGATGGTCTATATGTCTGCTATATGTCTGCCACTGGTAGTTCCACCCTATCGGTCTTAACTATTCTCTCTCTATTGACTAACAACTGGCCACACTTCTCTAGTCCAAATAAGATTCCAATGTGTGTGTGGATGTACTTGTATACATACATACATACATACATACATACATACATACATACATACATACATACATATACACCATTTGTTTTTGTTGAAGTCACACAACTGTTGGCCTGTGTGTGTTTTGTTCATCTTTCTCCTGACTGTTTTCTCCTTCTCTCTTTTATTTTTCTCTTTCTCTGTGTGGTCATTTGAAATCTTATCAGGCTTACAAAGAAGCCTGAAAAAAGACATGTGTGCTTAGTAGCACAGCGTGATCTTGAGCTTCCAAAGATTTCTAAATTATTTTTAAAGCATACACAACCTTAAAAATTGCATTTATAGGGAAAAGAGACGCTTCCTTTAATTATTTCTATACATGTAAACTCAAAAATCCAATTGGCCTCCCCCAAAAGTTGGGTATTTAAAAAAATAAAAATAAAACTTCAATTGTTTTTTTTTTAATCACACTTTTATTACCACTTTTCCTGCAAATTGACATTCAACAATCAATCATGGATCACACCCTCGCCTTTTCCTACTTGTGTTTATGAGGTACAAGCCCTGAGAAATGAACAAAATTCCATTTAAAGATGTTGTAGAACAAATCAATGATATTATTACCACTTGTGCTGTGAATGGTCTTTTCCTTCTATCATATTAAGCATTGTAATTTGGCTGTCGTGTTTCAACTGGCTTGATAAGGGTCAGCAATGTGTTAGGGAGCACAGTTTGTGTTCTCTGCATAGATACTGGCATCAGGTCAACTAAGAATGCTTTGCAATGGGGGAAAAAGTCTTCTTTTTAAGGGCATCACATATGGAACAGAAAATCAATAGCTAGTTCAGGTAGATAGGAAGAATTATATGCTTGGCTGATTACTAATGCACACTTACATACAAACAAATGTCCTTTTTTAGAGCAGGGCTGTCAGCTGGCTAAAGGATTGTTTAGTTATTTAGCTTACCTCTGATTAATTAATTGATTTTGTAGAGGTAAAATTTATGTTCAGGCAACCTCAATGAAGTTGCCCCACTAAGAATTCTGAAGGAGATAAACAGGCCTTTGCATTCCTCAACAGCATTTTCAATAACTTCCTCCATATGCTGTGACTTGACTTAACTCTCCAGCTTCTTAGCTCACTTGAGATCAGGCTGACTGAAGTAACTTTAATGTCCCCCCTTAGTCAGAGTTCAGATATTAGTTAGAGCTTGGCTCTATTTACACAATGAACTCAACTTAGAGTAGGGGTGTCAAACTCACATCATCATGGCAGCATCACATTATGTATCAGGACTTTTTTCCCCTTCTCTAAACCAGGCATGGGCATGGTTAGCAAATGATGCACCTGGCCCATGGTCCAAGAGTTTGACAGCCCTGGGTTAGACAGAGTGGAATGTAAGTATTGCGGCTTAACAATTTTTTTGTTTTCTGATGTTACTCACAGTTTACTCTTATTTTTAGAAAAATGCAGGAACCATTATTTGAAGGAAAAGGGAGAATTGTAGGCCTTATGCAATTTTAGAATGAAAAAACAACATGGGTGTGATTTACTTATTTCTGACAGGCAACATAATGCAACTATGCAGAATGCACAATCATATCTTTTGTGCTGTGATGTCATGGGATATAACTCATCATTTTAATGTCATTGTGGCTTGTAACAGACAACCATGAAAGAAATCTTTCATTTTCTACTAGTATTCAAAACACTGAAATGTAAAGCTTTCCTAGTTCTTATTTACGATAAAGACAACATTTACCAAAAAGGAAACTAAATACAGAAATTAAAATGCATAGATGATATAAACACTTTGTCTTTTTGTATCACTTACACTGCCTCCTGATATTACTTTTGAGAAGTTTGACACCACTTCCTAGGTGGCTTCCCGGGGTGGCCTTATCAAGGCTTTACCAAGAGGTGGGGGATTGGTCCTTTGGATTGGTCAAATGATCTTTGAATCATACTAAACCATAGGTTTTTCCTCCATTGACACAGTAGAAGTAACATATTTGGGAGTACAATGTCCCATCTTCCAATATAACCTCTTGTACAAAAGAGTTCATTAACTTTCACTCCATCTCAGATCTAAACTTTGAGATTTTTTTTCAATTAAATATGTTGTCTTTGCAATTGTCTGGAAGAGTTTCTTTTTATAAAATGTCTAGATTCTATTCACATGTCCGTTATTTATATCCTTTGATTTTCAGTAATGGTCTCATCTTTATATATCTGTAAAGCCTATGGGCTTGCAGCTTGCTATATACTTTATATCATTTTTACTTTTTATTTCATTTTGTTAAAAAACAACAAATTAACTTAAGTGAGGAATGTTCTTCTATAAGGCCATATCTTCATAAAAAATAATTATTTAAAATCTGGTATTTATAGAATCAGTTTCCTTTAATGTATGTTTTATATATTGTCATGATCATTGAGTTCAATCCAATTGTTAAGGCACTCATTAAAAAATCAGGAGACTGTGAGTTCTAATCCTGATTAAAGCATGAAAGCCAACTTATTCGAATTTGCACCAGTCACTCTCTTTCAACTCAGCTCATCTGATGGGTTTGTTGTGGGGAAAATAGGAGGAGGAAGGAATGTTGGATATGTTCACTGCCTGATTTATTTCTAAAAATCATAAAGGCGGGAATAAAACATCTTTAAAAATCTAACAATAAAAATGTCAAGGTAAATACAGAATGCTACTTAATATGGAATAGGTTTTATCATTGGTTAGAAACACGGGGTAGAATTTGAAGATGAAAGAATCAGGTGAGGGAAACCTGGAAAGAGATACTGTTTGTATTATAGACAGAGGAATGTAAGCATTAGAATGATAGAGGAGTTGTCATATTATATGATGGTGAGAAATTTTTGTATAAAAATTTATATATATAAATTTGTTATTTTGTTTTTCACTTCTATTTTATGGCAATTAAAATTCCATGTCCAAATACACTGTTTGCAACATATTCATATGTAAACAATAAAAATATATATTCACAAAAAAAATCAAGGTTATTTCAACAAGACCTGAAAGAATTGACATTTGGTAAAATGGAGCTAATTTTCCTAAAACAAATAGATAAAATTTAACTATGAGGACAATTCCTCCTTCCACTCTCTGGAACTATAAGTGATCTTATTACTAGTCTCCCTAATTCACTTACCTATCTTGATTTTGTGAGCATCTACAAATTGGTAAATAATTGATTTGATATATGTATGGGAGAACTTTTCTTAATACAGTGCTTCAGGAAAGGTTGTAAAGCTTTGTCTTGACAGAGGAATTAAAATTGTTGACAGTTTTTAGACTCCTATCTGGCTTATTGTGCCTGCAGATGTCAACCTAGGTTGAATTAAAGCAGTAACAGCAATTCTGAAAAGCAAAACCACCAATTTAAAGCAAAAATAATCTTTCACAACATGGTTCTTTTGTGAACAATGGCAGTACTTTACAATATATATTCAAAATTTGGAGTGCTTACTGCCATATCTTTATTCATGGTCTTTCCATAACTCTATTAAGTGGGAGGATGAATGGGAATTTTCCTCTATCAGAAGACCTACATATAAAATAGTGTTACTATAAGCAGAAAGGG